TCTAGTGAAGGTGTATGGAGTTTAAAAATGCATCCTGTAATGCCACTTCACAATCACAGTATAGACCAGTGTTTTTTGTTTGAGAGAAGAACTCTAAAATACCTAAATATGAAGGGTTTGTGTGCGAACGAAACAAAACACATTTCTGCATATGTTTGTGATGAGGAAACAACATTGAAACATCAAGAAAATAGCGTAATATGGGCCCTTTAAACAGATGTGTATGAACATGTTACACTATTAGGTCTGTACTGATGGGCCATATATAGAAGTGTGGCTTGTGTGCTGGCAAGGTACACCACTTTTAACCTATTATCGAACATATTGTATTTCATCGCTTTCTACCATGCGGCAATTGTCCTGTCACCCCAACGCAGCAATTTCACTTTTATTTATTGTCGAAAATGCCAAGGTGTAGCACAAAAACACATCCTAGTAAAAAATAAATAACCCCAATTTTTCTAGAATAGAGTAATGTCTAGGCTGGCCGTCTGCTGTGGGACCATGCTTCAGATAACGTAACGGCGAGGAAACTTTTCGCTGACAAAGGCTTTTAAGGGCAGGTGTGTAGATCCGGCGCAGTGCATTTTAAAGGTGGGAGAAGAAGAGGAGTGCGTGTGGTGGTATCCGCGAGGGCAGAAAGGATAGACAGGAGGAAATGAGCACATTAGAGCGGTGTAATTAGACAAACCGTGTCTAGTGGAACAGGGACACGATTGAAGCTATAAATCAAGCGTGAGACTTTTAAAGATGGCGTACAAAATGGGGGTGAAATTGCTATGTGATTGAGCTAGGAACGCACAGGAATATATAGTGTAATTCATCTGTGCAGGCTGTTGGTTGAATAAAACACAAGCTATATGCATGCATGGGAACACACTAACGCACTAACAACAGCGTTTTTTCCCCATTATTTAAATATGCTGTTTCATTACAGTCACTCACCAGCGCACATGGTGTCACCCAGTGCACCGTATTTGCATATTTGCCATGTGCGTTTTGTATTTGCTGCCCTTTCTAACGCAAATGTCTTAATTTGTTGGGGATAGGGAGATAGAACTCGGTAATAAACCCTTATGGCTGCAATTACTTCACAGAATACTCAAAAGTACACAAAATTCACACATGTTCTAGTATTTATTGTGCATATTTTTAGGTAGACATGCACTGGTACCAATAATCATATGTGTTCCAGTCCAATCCATCCAAACAATCTATTAATATAGCCCAGAACATCTCATTATGTTTGCACTTTTATTTATACTCTGTAGTTGTAGATCAAATGAAAATAGCAATTTCACTTGGTGCAATTATTAAATCTCAAAGACTGCAATTATTTAGAAAATAGAATGTCCTCTGCAAAAAGCAAACCATCCGTCGTTTTATAGAAAAAAATCTCTTTATAACTATAGTTCAGACTTCTATAAACAGCTTCTGAAATTCATGGAATTTTTGTATTAGTTTATCAGATCTTATTTCAATCTTCTCTCAAATGTGGACGCTAAACAGAATGCAACTTTTTAATCATATCGCAAATCTAATCATGAGTTTGCAGAAATTTTTTTGCAATTTCACAACTTTTTTTTCCCAATACTTTTACAGCATAGTTCGAACGAAATGTACTTACTGTTTCTGGTATATTGAGTATATAAATTATGCACAAACCTTAAGCTAAAGTATCATTCTTGGCATCGTAACTGAAAAAGCTGGATTAGTGCTTCACTATTTTAATAATACAGTATATAATATAAGTATCTGTCAAACAACTTACAAAGTTCGATCATAAAATTCATCTTAAGATTCAATAACTCATCTAATACTTCTAATTTTTATGCGACTCTTTCAACATTCAACAGATGTAATATTTTGTTATGAATTATTAATCTCTATGGCAATGGTCCTAATTTTTTCTCATCATTCTGAAATGCATGGATACACTCCACCACCGCCACAGTGCAGGAAAAAGGCATCGCCAGCTTCACAGCGCGCTTCACAACACATTTGCTCATGCTAACGCCAAAGTGCGCTGAACAGTGGGGCCTGCATAATCAGCCTGTGTGCGTGTGCTAGCCTTCTGGGAACTCCCTCTGCAGGTTGACGTGGGCGAGAGGCTTGACTCCCTACAGCAGCTTTGGGAATGGGAAGAAGTGAATGAATAGAGACTATAGAAAGAGAAAAGGGAATCACCACCAATTAAAATAGCACGGGGTTGCCCATGCCAGCGCTCTATGCTGTAATGGTATGCGTGACTGTTGGCGCCTCCCCGTGACAGTTTATGTGTCCCGGAGATGTTCGTGATGGATGGCAGGGTGAGGAATAGAACGCGTAGCAATAGTGAGGGGGAGAAGAAGATGTATGATAGGCAAAACTGACATAGGGACGCCAATTAGAAGAAGCGTGCCCCTTGTTGTTAGTCAGGGGGAGAATATAGCCGAGCCAAGTGTCGGATGCGCTTTTTAACATACGTACAAATATATGGCAAATAAGGGGCACTAGACACAGAGCTACTAAAGGTTTGTCAGATCACTGGTTTGATAATGGAAATAATAAGTAAGAATGTCATCTAAATACATATTAATAAGATACATTAGAGATATAATTTTTTGAATAAATTTTTTATACTAGAAACAAATGAAAAGGTTTGATAAGGTAAGAATACAATTTTCAACATGAATTATTAGCAGTTTCTTCAATATTATTAGTAAATCATCTTTCACTGATTTTGATTGTATGATTGTTATGATATTGTTTTTGATAAAGGTTTAATTTTAACCTATTGAAGTAATTTTTGTTCAAAATGTTAAACTGAGAATCCAATATCTAGTTTTAGCATTGATTAGTACCTGGATATCAATACTTCTGACAACCCTATTACATAGACTGATAATGCAATAATAATTATACTTATGAATTCATAATTAATGCAACAGAAATTAAACAATTGGTGGAGTACCCATTCATTATGCGTTTATCTATAACTGGAATAGATACATGTTCATTTAAAGGCCACTGAAGTAACACTATCTACTGTATTTATGGATTTCAATTACTGACTTTTTCCTGCTATGGACGCCATTTGTAGGACATTGGAAAAGATGGATTTGGTTTTAAATTGCTAATTGCTACATTTTATCATAATGAAATAGATTTATAATAGGTTCACTGGTTCACTGGTTTCAGCAGACAAAAGACATGTAGAATAGGTTTAAGTAGCGCGGTAGAGTGCCTTTGATTCTTCTGCCGGTCAGTACTACTTCTTTAAGGCAAGTTTTGTTTCTCTCTAGGTTTAAAAGGCAATTGTCTGGACATTGTTTTTAAGATGTTTCGACTGCCAACTAAAGTCAGTTTCAATCTAAAAGGCGCTAGCTTCCGGCTGCCTTTTCTACTATGTACCACTCCTGGACAAATGAGTCATTACACTCGCTACTGTACGCCAGTTCAAACTTCAGTCACGCAGCACAAATCAAATCATAGCACTGTTTTTTGAGTGCAGTTTTAAGTAATCCCACAACTGCTTTGACCTTTACTCACCAATTACTCACATTAATGCTGCATGCTCGCTGTTCTACCAGAATGTCCAAATAATGCGTTGAACAGAAGGCATTTTAATATTGAGCCCCGATCTCCAGATGGGCAGGTGCGCATGTAATAGTCTACATTTGTTTCCCTGCATTTGTATGTCAAACTGCACTTGGAAGATCAATTAAAGACATCACTATGTATTATGATTATGTTTACCTTTTCAGCTCAAATCCTATCTGTCTTCACTCAGGCTATTAGAAAGAGTCATTGCGTGTAAACTGTGTACTGTTGTATCGACAGTGCATTAAGCTCCATGATGAGGTTGTATCACTTTACGAGCTGGTGCTCATTAGCCCCAGACAGCGAGGGGGAGTGAAACGTATTGGCTTGTGTGGCTGTGTGAGTGTGTGGGACCAAGTGAGAGACGAGAAGAGGAGAAGAAGTAGGAGAATGGATGAAGACGTACAAATGGACTTGCATGTTTAACGCGAGCGGAGAGAACGCCACTCCAGATGAGGTTACCACGCAACCAACCTGTCACTCGTTTTTTCCCCAATTCCCCTGACAGCTACAGCCCGCGCATGAACCTCAGAGAGGAGATAAAAAGTGTTCGGATACATGGACAGCAGAAAAGACTTGGATTAATAAGGTCCAGCACAGGGTAAGGGCTATGAACAGTGCAATGGAAAAAATTGTCCAATTACTCCTATCATACAGTGCATTCAGAACTTGGCTGGTATAGAAAGTGTCTTCAGTAACTGAAGGGGAAAATACTGAAGTCCAATCATTTCTGTTTCATTCTTCATCTGCACTTGCTTTGTTTGATGGCAGCCAAGACTAAATGACAAAAAGGACGTATGTTAGCAGCAGAATGTCAGCTAAGAGAGGCAAGGGTGGTGATGAAAGGCAACTAGTGGTGACAGCCTTCAGAAGTCCAGCAGCGCGCAAACCCCAAAATAAACCAGACAGGGAGTAACTGGGAGTATACAGAGAAGTGTATGTTGAATGAGAGCATGAAAGCAGAACTCTTTCACCTTATAATCTACTGACAACCTGCTATTTTCTGTGACTGCACAGGTCCTAGTGGGCCTTGAGTCAAGCCAAAGACCTCATACATGAATGTAGTGAATCCCTACGGCTCCCTCTCTCCTTTACTGCTACGATTATCTCTCCATTGTCCCTTTGGACCAATCTTGTTTTGAGGCTGCAACCTGTATTCACATGAATAAATAAATATGTCAATATATGAGCTCTCACTGAAAAGAACAGCCTGGAAGACAGATGCCCATTATTTTCCATCAAGAGATATATTTGTTTTGTGTGGAATGGGAATATTTCAACATATGGCTGCATAAATCAGGAATTGCATCTAAAGATGGCACTCGTTTCCCCTCTGTTCCGTACCACCATCTGTTCTCATCCGTTTTAATACAAGCAGTGAACACAGTATGAATAAGAGCTGAAAGAGCTGGACTCACCTCTCTGCACCAGCATGGTGACCTCACTGCCTTTGGGGCACTTGCTCAGCAGGTCCACTACTTGGTTATGGGACATGGTCTGCACATTCCTCTTGTTCACCTCCACAATGATGTCCCCCTCCTTGAGGCCACGGCAGCGAGGGTAGTCCACTATCTGTTTGACTCTTTGTCCTCCCCCTCCCGGGCTGTCTGCTATGGTAAAGCCAAAGCCTTTGTCTCCTTTCTCCATGTGCACGGTGATGAGCTCAGGCTGCGTGGCGATGGAGGAGGCCAGGGTGACCACATCACTGGGATAGCCGTGCTGGGACGAGGTGTCAGAAGCCACCTCTGCAGCGGGGCTATGAGGGCGGGGCAGCCCGTTGAGAGGCGCCGCTCCATTGGTGGAGACAGTGTTGTTGTTCTGGCTGCCATGGCTGGATGGCGAGTCGTAGCTGTTAGTCACCTCCTGGCCGTTTACAATAATAGGGTCCTTGTTATCAAGAATGGCCACTGAGGTAACTAGGCTGGTGTTGGGGTCATCTGGGTCAAAGGGCAGTGGGTAGCCACGGCAAAGCTCCAAGTCAACCATGGAGCCAATGGGGATGGACTGGAAGATTTTTACTACTTGGGCATGTGTGTAACCTAGCACACATATGTCGTTGACGCTCACAATCACGTCACCTGAGAGAAATAAGAGAAACACATAAGTAGGACATTCTAAATACAGTACTTGAATATTTGGAGTCTAAAAACAGCAAAGTACCTGTCTCCATTTTGCCATCCAGGGCAGCAGGTCCATCTAACACCAGGCTCTTGATCTGCAGAAACTCGTCTGGCTCGTCTCCTCCCACCACAGTGAAGCCAAAGCCTCGGCGGCTCTTCTTCAGTTTGGTATTGATGAACGTGCCCTTGAGCTCAGATCGGTTGCGGGTAAAGAATGGCTTCCCTCCTGTACACACAGATACACAGTGTAACTACACTATAGTGAAACAGCTTCAAGTGAATTGAATAGCCTGGTGTTTTTAATTAAAACTGGTCTGAGCGGTGGTGTGTTTGGGCTTTTGTGCCATGTCTCACAGGTGTCAGGCAGCACAGTTTAGGGGTACTTTAGCTTGCAACAGGCTCATTGAATATGATCCAGGGCACAGGATCTTGTGTAGACTCGGCGGCTGCATGGCAGGGGCAATATTGATTTCTTAAATGTGCAATGAGTCCACGAAAGGAGCCAGATGAGATATCCATTCAACAAAAAAAAGTCAATATAGTGTTTTCGATTTTCCAAATGCAGATGAATTACTGCAGATGAAAGAAACACCACTCCTACTGTAAAAATGCATATCTAATGCTCAGTGTATTTACAATAATTTGTGCTGCTTTATTCCAACTAAACAAATGTGTGGAGTCCTTTCCTTGCATGTACCAAATTCACAGGTTTACAATCTCCTCTATCCACAGTTGGTTTTGTCCATACATTATATTTACGTCCTTGTCAATGCCCGGCCTTTGTAAAGCAGACTGGGTTGAGATTTAACACAATGGTAAGCTGGTATGGCAGCTTTATCCACAGGGATTCTGAGATGTAAGAACAAACCAGGAAGCCAGGCGGACATGAAAGCGGGCAGAAAGATAAAGAGATTTTAAATGATGCCTTTGACTGAGGCAGTGTAGGTTATGGTTGGGACAGAACAACACTGTTAAGGTGGGAAATACAAAGATGACGGTCCGGAGAGAACAGAAAGCCAAATGCAACATAGGAAATTTCTAACTGTCCAATTAGAATAAGTAGGAAGTTGGCTCAGTATACCAAAAATAAGTATGCGAATTACACAGTGTGCTGGTGAGAGGTGAGTTGAATAGACCTGTCACAATAACAAACTTTTAAATACAATATATTGCTATATATCACTGTGATATCCACCGCAATAACGGATAATGTTGATACTACTAGCGGTGGTGTCTTTGGGCTTTTGTGCCGTGTCTTGCAAAAGTCAGATATTACAACAAATAATACTCCAAATTTCTCCACTTTTACAAAGATAAATAATGAGCCCCAAAATATATTGTTCCAGTTTTCATATACTGAACGATAAGAACAATAAGTAGATGCAGTAATTAAATAAGTAACAGGTCTAAAGTTGACTAATAAAGCAAAGTATTAGGGACTGTCAACAGAGGAAAATAGACTTGTATAAAAATAAAAAATAACTTGCATTTCATTTCACCTAATTACTCCAGTATATAAAAATATAAAAGATAATGCAGTTACATTTCAGTATTAAAAAATGCAGGTAGTTCACATATAGTCCCCTGTTCCTCCAATGAAAATCTGACATCTAATCTAATATAATAACTAAGATGGGATAGAAGGTAGCCTTGTAGTGACATTTCATTAAAACCTAGCTATAGCCTTAAGCATGCACATAATGTAAACAAACAGCCAGGCCCCATTGTTGAAGCCATAATAAGACCATGTGGGAATGAGTCACCCTTACGCTTCTGTCCCATGGCGTTGGGCACCGCGGGGGTAGTCTGCGGGTCCCTGTAGGTCTCTTGGTGGTTGGCAGCATAACTGGCCAGCGGTGCTCCGGCCATTGTGGAATCTTCAATCCATTCTGTAAAAGCAATTTGCACACTTTCTCTAGAAGAGTACGGGCACAATGAACGTGAAGGAATGCAAGGACAGTATCAGCTGGACCACCGCGGTAGAACGCTGTGGTAGAAAATGTGTTAATTATTTGGCCTTTTCACATATCCAGGGGAATAGCAATTAATATGCAAATTCATGTAGAGATTGTTTGATGAGTGAGATTAATTTGACATACTTTTATCATTTTTAATTCACCTTCAGATGTGGAGTGTTTGGGCGGAGATTTGAGTTAGGAAACATAGCCCAAAGATGTAATTCAAAATCTAGTTGCTAAGTGCAAACCAAACTGCATGCATGTCCTCCGTGATAAAATTGGTATGCTGGCCCAAGAAATTCTGTTTCATATCAGACATTCCTACAAAGCAGTTTTTAGGCTATGGGGGAACATGGTCTGCTACTGATTACTTACTTAATTAGTGGTATTTAAATAAGCACTATCTACCTGGAGGTTATGGTGTTGGCTTGTCTTGATGGATATGTTATTGCTGTGTTTGAAATGCTCCACAGTATGAATTTGCTTGTATGTATCTTGTGTTTAGTCAGTTACAGGTGTTTTTATTGCTAGAAAATACATTGAAAAACATGCATTGTTACTATGAGTGGGGTCACCTCTACATAGATCTGATCATTCATCTAAGAAAAGTTACATAGTCAAAAAATTAAGTCTTAGGTCTTGTAGACATATTAACGCTGCACAATTTTAGAAAAACTTCGAATTGTGTTTTTTTAATGGTTCGATTTGAAATGTATGTTTTAGTACTAGGATTCTGTTCAAACTGAAACAAATACTGAAACAAACTAACAAACGAATACAAGACTCAAGTTCAAAACATGTTTGTACAGATCTAAACTACAGCTTTCGTGCAAAAGATGCGTTATGATACTTAAAATTTATTCGATTTGCTAATTGTGCCCATTCCAACTGCGATCCTAATTCGATCGCAATTAAACCTGCCGCCTTAGCTCATATAACAAAAGAAAAATGAGCCCACTTGCTGACACTGGAGCTAAAGCTACGTAATAGTCTCTTCATTTTTATTCCAAAGAGCATAAGCAGGTGAAGAACATGCTTGAAGGTATTGAGTTTTTTAGCAGGACTGAGCTGCTAGCTGGACGAGTCGGCAGGTAATCGAGGGAAATAAAAGTCTTTCTGCTGAGTGAGCAGGGGGTGCAGGGTCCCCAAGTGTGCTACTGTGCATATACAATCCAATTTTCTCAAACATATGCATGTGTACAAGGACAGCTAACATTAAAGAGTAACTAGTCACCATCAAAATGCAACATCAGTATTGGTACACAGCTATAGCCTGTTGATTAAAAGCAATATAGGGAGCACATTCAAGGCTAAACTTACCTGTGGAAGCTTTTAAATTATTAACACAGCGCCAAGGCCGTCATAATATGCAGAAATTAAGTTGGTAAAGGCTGAATTACACAGCCAAATCATAGTTATGCTTTAATGGATTGAAGCTTAGCAAATGATAAGTAGCAAGCAACAGCAGTAGCAGTAGTAATAGTAGCTGGGAAAACACACATCCATACGGCATACAGACAGACACTGGAGTAGAAGAATTTGTTATTTTTTGTTTTGCATAGTCTCGATAACAATATTCAGACAATATTTTAAAGATTTATCAGGAATGTGCTGAAATGCATGCATAAATGTCTTGTTTGGGTTTCAAGGTCTTGCACAAATTATGAATGGACCATGAAAGTAACCATTTTTGTTTGGGTAATCTGATGTTTTGGAGATTGCTATACTACAAATCTCATTTTAAAGGTCCTGTACTTTTCTTTTTTAGATGTATTTAAGGATATATAAACATATATATAGGAGGATATATATATATATATATATATTGTATAATCAGCTCTTGAGGTCAAAATAAAATCAGCCATCTATCTGCGTCTAATTATGAAGATATCACACACTGTATATCCACACTGGTCTCTGAGACTTGTGAAAAGCGCTTATAAACTCATAGTGGTGAATAATTAGGATGGTTTGAATGCATAAAGTCAATGAGGATTAAAATGAAAGAAAAGTTCAGTTTTTTTATGTTTTTAAGACTGTAAAAATCAGGTATATCAACTTTAAGGTAATTTTTAACTGTTTAAATGGATAATTCATACTCTATAATCTATAATGCACATCTCTAAAAGAACAATTGGAATACTGTATTGAAAGATTTTCTGATATATCTCCCACTTCTAACAGATAGTCAGACAGACAGACAGATCAGTCACTCACATGGGCAGAAGAAAAGGAAAATGACGCCCTGGTTAGGGGCTAGTGACGAACCTCGGATGTAGCGCTCACCTTCGGCGGGCTGCTGGCTCTGGGGCTGGGGCTGCTGGGGCTGCTGGGGCTGCTCCTGCTGTCTGCGTCGCTTAGCCTCCAGCACTGGGTTCTCATACTGGGTCTTTCTGTTGATGTGACTGTGGAAAAGGCAAAAAGGGGTAAGAGACACAAGATGGCAACTTAGAATATGTAAAGAGAAATCTGACTAAAGTAAAACCTCCTTAGAGGCCAGAACAACCACACTGACCAACATGTAATCCTATGTTATTTATAATATCTTGCACCTTCAGTTTTGCATTTAATATTAAAACTATGCAGTGTTTGATGTTCTAGATCAGGAAGCATCAACCTGTAGCTCGGGAACTACCAGTAGCTCTCCTCCCCCTTCCAAGTAGCTCACCAAGGGATTTTTGAATTATACATACTGCGCTGAATAACTCAAATCTGACTTATTAAATGCCTATTTCCTTTGTAAATGTATAATTTTGATGCCTAATTTTGTGCCCTGATAACTGGACAATGAGTTATGTTTTATAGACATCTAACTGTACCTCATCTTTGGCTTACCATGGCTCTTATATTTACAACATTTCTGGGAACTGCTAAAATTAGTAGCTCTCTAGCATTTTCATTTTACAGAAAGTAGCTCACAGGATGAAAAAGGTTGCTCTAGATAGAATTTTGTGGTTCTTCTATGACAATAAAATCTGGAATCTTTGTTGTTAAAAAACACAAGTTGCAATAAAAAAGAATGAAACACTATTTCTTTTAGTCGTAGAAGTTACTTGTTCGACCTTCAACAGCTCCAATTGTATTACACTACAAAAACTGGTGTGTGTTCTAAAAAAAAAGAAAAAAGGATAATATATATTTATTTATACTCTTGTATTTATGATTCTTTGTTATTTCTACTTTCTATATAAACCAACAAGACAAAATAGTGATAGATCTGAACTAGATTCAGAGTATTCACACAAAAATCAAATCTTATGAAAGGTTTTTGCAGCTCTTTATCAGGCAGTGAGAATGCCATTCACTTTTTCTCCTCTTTTCCTCTTTGCCATTTAAAAGGATTCAAAAACATCTTTTAAAATTCACACCCTTTAAAGTTCAGTGGAGGAACCAAAATTACCAGCTTTGAATAGGTAAATGAAATCTACTATTTTTTGTGAAGCACGACTTTGGAAATGGGCAAATAACTACTGTTTTACATTTATTTGTACACATTTAATCTAAGGCGTGCATGTTTTATTGTATGCTAAATTATTTATACAGTGAATAAAGCATTCCTATAGAAAGTAAAAAGAGAACTGTCAATGTTTTTTACATGATAATGAGAGAAATTTGACGATGTCTTTAAACTGAACTGAACTGTGGTGCAATAAGGCTTACACTGGAGTTTGAGATATGTATACATCTGCACTCTGTAGTATTGTATGCAAAATAACACCAAGATGAAAACGCTAAGGACGCTTTATTCTTGTTAGCGTGCAGGACTAACTTTATAGGAAAGATAAATGTTTGCCATTTTCATCCCCCTTTACAAAAGAAACAATACAGAGAGGATGCTGGTACAGAGGTGGAGAAAGCCTTACATGCAAGTTTCAATATTGCACTTAAAGATGCACAATGTAACTTTTCTGGTAGGAGTTCTGCCAGCCTCTTGTCTCCATGGTGATTATATTAATGCTCAAAAACAAAAAAAGAAACAGATCTGAACTTTAGGCCTGGTTGCATCACTATCAGTCTACTAATCTTGAAGATAAATTTGTTTAAACCTACTAATATAATGTGGAAAATTCCAACTCAAGTAATAACATTTCCATGGAGATAAGCTGGCGGCTGACCCTCTTCCAGAAAAGTTACATAGTGCATCTTTAACCATATATTAAGGTGAAGTTTTAGTATTTTGCTTATTGTTTCAAAATTGTAATCTAGTACCAATCTATGCTGATCTGGAATGCAACAAAAAGAAGAAAAACAGCATTAAGATAGGACAATCACTACTTACTCAACATAGTAGACCCCGTACACTGGATCATCTATCTTTTCCCATCCTGGTGGAAGTTCTAAAGAAAGAGAGGGAGAGAGACATAAGCCAACAGTGATACGACAGGGGAGATACGACAGGGGAGATATGACAGGGGAAATACAAGGGCCTGGGGATAGTGGTTCAAGGGAAGGCCACAAGATGCTGTATTGTGTGAGCCTCTCCAGGGCAGCCATGACTCACACACCTCACACAGCCCCTCTTCGCCTGACATTTCCCAGTGTCAGATAAGAACTGAGGTAGACCCCCGCAGGCACGAACGGATGGATACAAGGATGGATTAAGAGATAGAGAAAGGAAACAGGGTAAAAATAACAACATGGGAGGATAGTGTTGTGTGTGAGGAATAAAGAGTTAAGACATGTGTTTTTGTCTGCTGTTATGATCTATGATGACCATGGGGAAGTCTGTCGTATTTTTGGACATTTTAAAGCCATATTAAAGCTCTTATATTACGCAAAACTGGCTCTTGTGAGCTTTAAGCCATCTTATAATGTTGATACCTTCTCAAAAACATACCTGGAGATGTGTTTTGTTTCATTCACACATGTGTGAGTAATCCTTTATTATTAGTTTATCTACATCTCAATGCTCAAAACACTCTGTTCAACCTTGTGATGTTTTCAAGTTAACAGCTTCTTTAACCTTTAATTCAGTAGAGGATGGCAATTCCGGGGCTGAAATTATCTGAATGATTCCAGTGGAGGTGTATGGAGTTTAAAAACACAGTGGAGCACTTCCTATATTACCACATGACATCACAAGGTGGAATAGAGTTCCTTCTGTTTAAGAGAAGAACTCAGCCTAAATATGCAGAGTTTGTGAGTTAAACGTGTGTGAATGAAAGAAAACACAACTCCAAGTATGTTTTTTTGATGAGGACACATTATAACAGAGATCAGAAACGTGCGTAATATAGGACGTTTAAAGAAATAAGTTCGCTGAGTTCTGGTTGAAAATTACAGCCCTGATTTCCTGCTTCTTTAAAATAAATGTCAAAAACAAAGTGCCAAGCTCACAGCCTGCCTATGAATAGCTACAGTTCACAGTAGCAAACAGCAGATTTATTTTCCTTAATTTGAACCAAAATGGCTCTCAAAACACTGCCGACTCCTACGTGTATCACCAGTTAAGGAAATTAATTAAACAGAGAGCAGTGGGTGTGTATGGGGGGGTTGGTGAAATGGGGAATTTTCACAGCTATGGCATTCTGATTGCAGGAGAATAAAGATTACTCAAACATGCATGAATCACTCTAAATACAACTTAGAGAGGGTAAATGATAGGGGAAAACGATTACAACGTGGTTAAAAGCTCTTAGAGGCCCTATATTACGCAAAATTGACTCTTGTGAGCTTTTAGCCATGTTATAATGTTGTTACCTCCTCAAAAACATAGCTGGGGTTGTGATTTGTTTCATTCACACATGTTTGAGTAACCTTTTATTATCATTCTGTCTGCACCTCCAAAGCTCAAAATGCTCTTTTCCATCTTGTGATGTCAGGAAGAGATAGTTTTCAAGTTACCAGCTAACTTTTTAACTATTGCTCAGTAGAGATTTGGAATTCCATGGCTGAAATCATTAAAATTATTCTAGTAGAGGCATATGGAGTTTGAAAACACAGGGGGGCACTTCCTGTATTACCACATGACATCACAAGGTGGAACACAGTGTTTTCTGTTGAAGAGAAGAACCAAGCCTTTTGTGTTTTAAACATGTGTGTAATGAGGAAAACAACATCATAACAGACTAGAATATGGCGTAATATGGGCCGTTTAACAGTTGATTTAGCATAATATGTCTCCTTTAAACTTAGAGGTCAAAAGTAACATAATAAATAATACATAATAAGAATTAAATATTAATGATGTGCTAAAGGGCTAAAAATCGATGTATGTCTGTGGTATTTATTAGAAAATAGGACCCTACTTGAACCATGTTATTCAGTTGTTATTGTGATTATTGGCTGGTCTGTCAGGGTTGTCTAATTAGCTGCATGTAAAGACTGCCAATAGTCCTTTAGTGAAATGTATCAGTTTTACATATTATTACCCTTGGCCAATTATGGTTAGCCCTGTGTGGGGAGACAGCAATTATCGTCATCCAGCTCGAGAGTCTCCCTCTGCTTCCTAATGAGACGCCTCAGAGTGGATTCAGGCGCACGGGGTTTGCAAAGAGACGTAATGCCTATGGCCCAGTAAAGCTCTTTAACCAACGGAGATGCCGGATACACAATTACATCTGTGAGCCCGATCAAGGTGGCAGGAGGGTGTATGGAGAAAAAGTTCATCGTAGTGGGTAAATGCAAAAAGCTGACGTTGAAATGTTGCTAGTTGGAATGTTAAATACAATGGGAATAAGTGAATACACGTACAGAGAAAACATATTCTGAATAAGGATGCACTGATCCAGCTTTAAGATACTACAGCTTTAAAGATCTGCTGATACCTGGGATCAACCAATAAAGTGAAGAGACTGGAAACAGCATTTTTTTTTTCATTTAAACAGAAATAAAATAAGGTAAAACTGATCCAAGTGTGTTGTGGAGCTGTTATTCATCTCCCAAGTAACCGAAGAACAGCTCTGGATAATTAAAGTGCAACATTTTGAAAAGAAAAGAGACTTTCTGGACCAACTACGACTACTAAATAGTCTTATTACATCAAATTATATGCCCAACCAGAAGATGATATCCAATCCAGCAATTTTTTTTCAGTATTGGCACCAATATCCAGTACCTGTATCATTGCATCCCTGATTCTGAATACTAATTTTGAGTAGCTATATTCCAGTACTTCAAATGCGAGGAATACATGTCGGTACACAGTTTAAGCTTCAAACTGCACAGAATTGGTGATAAAAATATAAAGCACTGCTCTTGTGGTGCGTGCAAGTGTGACGTTTCCATCTCTGGACAGCGATAAGTAAATGCAGAAATGGTGAATGAAATATGAAGCTGTATTTAATCCTTTGTTGAATGTTTACACTATAATTTAAATGCAACCCTGCGTGAAAGTATTCAACATACTCAGAATACAGTACTCTGACTGGACCATGTATCTGAAAACGATAGAAATTTAGGTATTCAGTAATCTGTAACTCAATAAATTTTCAAAGTATTCTTCACATCACGTAAAGAAGAGAAAGTATGCATTTTTGTTGCTTTAATTCCCTTTTAAACATGCTTTTGGTCACCTTGAGATAAGTATTTCACATTTTCTAACTAAAAACAACCTCTACATTCGGAAAACACTTCAGGACTACATCTCAGTTTCCAATGAGGCATTTAGGCATTGGTGCTCCCTCTGCTGTACACAACGGGACAATAAATGAAGCTGTTAGGCAGTGCTAATGTTACCCTAAAGCCATGGGTTTATTGTTGTGTTACCCACAGTACAAGAGCTTGACTTTGTCTTACTATGGACTTAAAAACTATGCAGGAAAAATTCTGTATTTTTACCTGTGAAGCAACAATTTGGGCAGAATACAAATTGAGCATTTTTGAGTGCTCAGAGATTACAAATTTGGATTAATGTATTGCTGAAACAAGTGTGAATGAAACAAAACACAACTGTATGTTTTTGGTGAGACGACAATATAACATTATGCATAATTTGTGTCCTAAATATAACTCACTCTCTAAAGTTAAAATCAAAATAAAAAAATAGAGCTGACTTAATTTGACAGTACTCTAGTGGAGTTTTCCTTGAGTATCTGCATGTGTGCTGGAGTCAGACACACTGACAGGGGTGTACGGGATTTACAGCAACAGGGAGGATGAGACTGACAAGGGCAAGAATGTGAGTCATCGCTGTTTTCTATTTGACATTGCTCTTTCACAATATGTCTTTAGTCTGCAATCACCAAGGACAAAGGGTGGGCAAGAAAAAAAAATCTAATAATCTATCTCCACATTTGTTTTCATTATCTCAATGACAATTATCAGACCACTTTGTAGCAATCCAGTACAAACGTGAATGGATCCTAAAATTTAACAAACACATATTATGCTAAATTGTTTTTTTTTTTAAGATAATTGACTTTTTAAGCTAATTGTTTTTTTAGAGTTATTGCTTTTTTTTTGAAGAGTTATTTTTAAGTTATTGTTCCTTCATCAAAAACATACTAAGAGTGATATCTGGCTTTATTCACTTTTTTGCTGAGGATGACTGACTTATACTTGGACAAACTTTATTGATCCACAAGGGAAATTATTTGGACACAGTAGCTTAACCCTTGTTTAGAAAAGCTGCTCTCGTTAAGCTTCATAAAAATGTCCGATTTTGAATTTCCCAGTTTTGTGATGTCAGAGGTAAAAGCTGCTAACCCTATTGTTGTGTGATTTATCAAATGTTCAGTGTATTGTAGAAATAAGGTGTTTAACTGTATACCCATTTCAAGATTACACTGCAGTTTTGTAAATAGCGCTTCTGATTTTTAAAGATTTTTTTATCAAGGAGCTGCTGAAAAAGACAAATTATGCATCAAGTCATTACATTGTCTTTGCTAATGAATAACCCAAGGACACTGATATTGAATGTGGTCATTTAGCTGTTAGTGTGGCTAACCTTAAGGTCTCACATTAGCAGCTCATTCAGATGCTCAGCTATGGAAAGTGTTAACTAGACTTCAGGCTGCACGGAGCATATGACAACACTTGTACTGGAAACACCAAAGGCACACTGACATTTCAAGCCAAAGATAAACACATGAAAATGAAACTAAGCGAGTGCAAGCAGGGCAGAAAATTGTGGTGGGAGGGAAATCTATGTCTAACCCAGTGCAAGTGCTGTAAATGAATTGATTCTGAATTTTGGGCCATGAAAATAATGTGCAAAGCTCAGCAAATTGTGACACAAGTGCAGCTGCATTTTTCAAACTAGCTGAACTGACAGAGCAGTGTTAAAAACATAAATCAAAACTGTAAATCTGTATTCAGGATGTCTTCCAACATTATAATTGACCTCTATTATCTAATTACATTCTTATTTGCAATCAGCTAAATTAAACATTCGTCCATACACAGTGCATCATGTGTTTGTCACAAATATGGTGCTTATAAGAGGTATGCTTCAATCTAGTACTCACCTAGGTCATTGTCCAGCTCTTCTGTATGCACCCCTTCTGCTCACAAATCCAGGAGGAAGACGAATAGATAAAGAGAACACAGGTCAGTCAGTGTGGCCACAAATACATATAAGTATGTGTTGTTATATACACTGCCTTTTTTATTATTTATGGCAGAAAACGTATGTTTAGACAGTATACCGCAAATGATGTCATCTCTGTTTGAAGTGAGTTACTGAGCAACAGCAGGACCAGCACCAACTAGCTCAACACTGACACCTATGTGTCACAATGAGTATTATATTGTTCTACCTATTATCTGACGTAAGCCAGTTAAAGATAATAACCATCAAATCATAGATCACAGATAACAAACATATGCCATATTATTAAAACATTGCAGATAAACTCATACATGTGAACTTCGAGAAAAATACAAAACAGACCATCGTCTTCACTTTCTTCCAGGGGTTTCTGAGGCTTGTCCAGGCACCGAGGGTCTATCCACGAGGTGGTCTTTGTATTGTGGCTATAAAACAACATTGTAATTATAACTTTTGTGAAGTGCATACAGTCGTCTTATAGATGTAGTCACTTTATCATGAATACCTGGCCAACCAATATTTTGAGTAGGTATAGGAGTTCATTTCTACTTTATACAGCTCGGTGCAATGAAAGATGAGGCAGAAGCTATCTGGAATTAAGGGATTTTATACAACACTCTAAAGATAACTTCACCAGGTTTAAATCAGAATGAAAGCCTTTGGATTTAAAGAAGTTTGAGCCTGGAGGTCAAACATCACTGAACAAGAGTGCACAAAACTTCTTTAACTCTATTATGTAATAAATATTTTCTATTGTTGTTGGCCTGTTATTGCAGTAGGTTTAATTCCCTGTAGTCCCAAAGCTGCTGTTATTCATTCACACATTCACTTCTTGAGTAAAGCAGTGTAAATCAGTTCTGTCATAAGAATACCCTGAAGAATCCAACTTACTCTATAAAGTAGACCTCTCCGTTCTCCGTGTAGGCCATCTCCCAGTTGTCCGGCAGAGGTCCCAGCGGGTCCTCTGGGGGAGGCTGGCTCAGGTGAGGGTGGGGCTGCTGTGTGCTCTCCGTGGTGACCGCTGGTGAGGGAGTCGTCCCCAGATAGGACGGGGCACTCTGATGGGGGGGAAAGGGGTGCACCGAGTGATGAAGCTCGTCAAATTCACTGGAGTCTCCTGCACAATCAAAAGTGGGAGTCACAGTTAGAAACAACTTCAACATCATTTTCAGTGTATAATAAAAAAGATATGATAGTGCAAATATTGTAATCAGGCAGTAGTAGTGTTACATACAAAAAATACACAAGGTACACTTTATTGACCCCATAGGGAAATTTGCCTTGGACCTATCCTTCACTGCTTCTATTGCTATTACTATATGCTATTAAGTTAAACATTTACACAGTGGATTAATGAAGTTAATTTGGAACAGTTTCAAGTCATTTTGAGCCATTTCTCTTCCTAGTTTGATCTTAAATACAATTATGTCATAAGTGGTCTTGTAATAAAACTCTTAGTCAATAAACTGCAAGTAATAAAACAGTATACAGTATATAGTCAGTTCTTTTCAGTATTGATAGTCTACACTACACAGCACGTTGAAATTCTTAACTTGATAATTAAATTACTCTTCCATTAGTAGAAATGTTGATTAAAGCAATGTTTGACTAATCCACAGACATCCTGGTTTGCCTTTGAACCATTTGCCCGAGTTTACTGAGATGTTTGTTCACACCTCCACCTCCTCCAGCCCACAAGTGTCGTTTCCACTCTCACACGACTGGCACCTCCAAAATGACAAATAAACTACTTTTGGGCCAATGCCAAACACATGACAACCTAGAACTGAGTAGATTTCAACAGAGCAACTACTTCTTATTAAGCCTGTCATGAAAACTAGTTTTGATGCAAGATACATTTCTGATGAAAATATAGACGATAAATGAAAATAAATTATCCCACTGACAATATAACCCTAAAGCTGAATTATCCTGCAAAATTACTTGAAATAAACATTATTTAAAAAATTACCTGCAGTATTAATAGCAGAATGAATTGGTTAGTTAGTTTGCATCGAAATAGCGACTCATAGAAGTAATTTATTCAGTCCTCTACACCTTAAACCTCATGGTAGTGCAGAAAAATATAAAAAATTTATCCATTAGTACGACTAAGAACCAACAATAAATACAGATCCACCAAAATGATGAGAATTATGATGACAGGCCTGTTTCCCACTTAGTGGCAAATAGACATTATTTGTTTAGTTCTGGCAGTTTTCTTTTAACTTAATTTTTGATAACTCAATTTGATGTGGTGAGATGCAGTAATTCTGATCCGAATCTTTGGTTAATTGAGGATTGTGCAGATCATTATTTAATTATAAGAAATAAAAAAAATTGAGAAAGAAAACATAAAAAACATTCAGTTCATACTCGCAAAAAGTAAACAGAAATATCAATTATTTATCATTCAGAAAGTTTGATTTAGTAAAGCTCATAATGGTAATACATTATGAGACAATGTTAAATCATGAGGTTTCTAATAATGACAAGACAAAACTCCTCAAAACTAGAAGGTCTTAAAATCAATTTCAGACATATGTTCTTACTTTGTGTTCTGAAAAATTTTCCTCCATTGCTCTATATTACCACTTATTAATTATCAAGATTACCTCACGTAAAAAGCAAACAAAGACAGCCTTATTTTATGGGACTATGGGAGGTTAGGCTTTCATGTTAACAGCCAGGTGGCACTATTTTACATGTTTTCTATGTGTTGGTATAGACATGTTTAATCAAACCCAGACACAACTTACTCACCAAACCAGCCAGCCTTAGCAGACACTCAAAACAAAGCAAAAAGGAAGAAAAGAAATCCTCTCTTCCTCTCTCTGTCTCCAGTTTTTTGTCCTTTTTGTTGCATCTATCGTCTTTCACAAGCTGGCTCTCTGCCTCTCTGCCTCTCTGCTCTGACCAGTCTCATTGAAACTCACAGTCCTTCCCCGACCACACCTCCTCCTCCTCTCCCTTTCATTTCCTTCCACCTTGTGTTACTTCTGCCCCCTCCCATCGCACCCACTTTTCCTCCTCTTCAGCTGGGCCACATAAGTAATGAAAAAGCATAAAAGAGGTCTATTCTATATTAAAAAAGGAATCTATAGTACGCAATAATAAAGGAATCCAAAAGAATCAGGGGAGTAATTTTAAATGAGAAAATACGCAAATTGAGTGAAAGATGGTTGATTATTAATGTTCTTTTACAGTAAAGGCAGTGTGCTTTACTTGAACTTGGCTCACATTTTTCCGTCTGGACTTTTTCAAACAGGTATGGAAGTGCTGAGACCTACAAAACTGTCTCAGCTAATGCTTCAAATCACTATGACCCCTTTCACTAACTCAAAGACATATGTGGTCAGTTATACCTATGGCTGGTAAGGATAGTAGAGGTCTTGAAATCTGTAAAGAAAAAGTTTCAAGTTTCAAGCGCTTTGAGAAGCTTGTCAAGGTTGTAGAGCTTGATATAAATCAGGCAATTTCTTATTTTAATCAAAAATGCATCTGAAATGAATCTATTGCTGAATGAATGAGCCCAGAAATAATGTAATTTAACAAAGGGTCACATTTTAAAAGAACGATGCTATAGAAGCCTTGTAACATCATAAGTAGTGAGTAATTTATTTTAAAATTAAGGGGTTAATACAGCTTTATTCACTGTCTTTGTGCTATTTTTTGTTTGCTTATTTCTTCAATCGCGTACCTTTTTTCACAAACGAGCCCAATTAATCTAGTCATTTTTAAAGTCCTTTCAATTTCACCTGACATCACCTTTGTGTCTGCTTTTTTACTGTACTTTTATGTGCATTACATGGAATTCATGGATTCACAATACTGACTTGTCTACATCACAAAAAGCAGATAACTGTAATTTCCTTGTTTACTTTTCTTCTTACAATAACACAAAAGAAATCATAGAGCAAAAAATAATTTCACTGCTGGTCTGTGTTCCTTGTATAGGCGTTTGACCGAAATCAGGGCAAACATTTTGACAGTTACAAGGCACAAAACTATACCATGAAATTATTACTCCCCCTCAGTATTAAACTATGAGCATTTTAGGACATTACAGGTCACATTTAAATAAATACTAACAATTTATGTATACAAAAGCTCAAGTATATAATAACAACAATATAGTCAAGTGAAATTAAGTTTAGCAAAATGGATTCTGACACTACTAACGTCAGGCAAGGTTATCACTATAGCTGTTCTTAGTGAAGATTTACATACTAAAATAATCCTGTGAAAGATATAGGACTAACCCTTATTTAATAGATAACTTCTGTCATGTCAATCTCCATTTAATCTTTGCACTGTTTTCTGCACCTCATGACCTCTTGTATATAGCTGAGAGATATATTTCTATTACAATATTTTTATGTTTTTTTATTTTTACTTGTACATTTAGAATACATTTATGTAATCATGCCTTATTTGACACCAGTCTCTTGTTATTTTTACTACTTATTTTGATTTTATTATTACCATTTATATTTTTGCTCATTGTTATTATAATATATTGTAATGTGTGAGCTATTTATCCAAATAATTTGATTGATGGATCAATTTGTATGGTCAACTAGTAAAACTTACTATAATAGAGTAAAAAGCGGTCATTCATTAGCCTAACCTCCTCCTTAACCCCTCCCTGCCCCCGCTTACCTGTAAAGCTATTGTTCATGTCAGGGAGGTCGTCTTCGTCCTCCGGCAGCGTCTCTCCGGGCACTAGTCCAGCATTGTGCATGTCATGGTAGGACTTGGAGCGCAGAGAAGAGGAGTACTGTGAGCTTCCACTGAGCCCGTCTGACACAGGGGCATCACCACCACCGCTGCTCGTGCTGATCACTGTCCCACTGGGGGGCTGCACCGGAGGCTTGGGCGTCCCATAATAGTTACCTAGGCAATGGAGGAAAAAAGCCAGAGAGTGATTGGATAAAACTGGGAGGGGTGTGAGAGGAGGACAGATAGATCAGATTGGGAGTGTGTCTGCTATTGTATGCTAATTAAAGTGTGTGCATGCAGAACCACTGAAAGCAATGATCGCTGATAAAACAGTATGATTAACTATATTGGACTGATGTCAGGGAATTAAACTCCCATACCATATTAGTAACAACCTCAACAACCTAAGTGAGGAAACACTATAGTTCATCTTGGCAACAACATTTACATATAAAAATAAAAGGTACCGTATGTAAGATTTAGATTTTAAATTCCATAAACATGACCTATCTGTATCTCCAGATACATGATAAATATGTTCAAATCTGACAGTAACAGTTGTAATTATGATTTATTCTTAATTACAAAAACATTGGGCATGATGGCCATGTTGTTTATGCTATAATTTGGTGTTTTGGTTCCAAAAAATGATTATCCAATCACAGGCAGAATGAGCATGAGTCTGCCATTTGGGTTGCCAGTTTCAGTGCTGAAATCCAGTTGGTTGAAATCTTAAAGGACTACCTAAACCTCAGCGCCTACAGCCAATCATGAATCAGTGCTAGTGCAGCCTTTACAGCTCAGAGAGTGAAGTCTGGAGATTCTGAGCTTTCACATAAGGTATGGGCTGTCCATATAATTTTAGTCCATATCGCTTTAGTTCTTTTGGTTGTATTCTTTCTTAGCTCTCCTCTGATTGGGTCTTCAGGTTGAAGGGATGACTAATATTGACTCAGGCAGTATTCATTCATTAGAATTACTAGCTTGTTTAAGAAATGTCAAGTGTTGAGCATAACTAGAATCTTCTCTCACCTTCGTATGTGCCTGTCTCCAGCAGGGTCCCACTCTTCTCCAACTTCAAGAACTCCTCCACAGACAAGAAGTTGTAGTCCACACCAGGAACTTCTCCGTCACGAGGGGGGCGGGTTGTACCTGAGAAGCCAATCAGAAGAGAGGATTCATTCAGAGAGACACAGCAGCGTATTCCATTGCTGGCGTTTGAGTCTAAGATGGGATTTCACACGAGGGTAGAGTGTGAGGCGTCAGAGTAGCACCTTGGTGGGGTCCTACCATATGTTTGGCTACAAATGTGTGTGAATGCGTGTATGGTTTGGCATGGCATCTTCAGTGACTTAACAGTTGGTAGCAGTGGTGTCAGTGGTAAATAGCTCACGACAGAGGCAATTGTGAATCTGTGAGTTGAAGTAGGGATGGTCCAACATAAATTTTTTGAGTCGATATCAGATACTTGGTTTAATGCTGTGGCCAATAACGATATTTGACTATACTGATATTTAGCTTTTAAAATTCATAAGCTAACCTACAAATGCATCTAAGTTGATGTAAAGATAATAATTAACTTTTCACTTTAGTAAAAATAATAACATGTTTTGTCTGGGATATAAAATTATTTCTTACGTGTGTGTGAAACATACAGTCATATTAGAGCCTAATTGCTCTATTGATAAACTTTTTAAGCATCATTCTGTTCAAAAAGACAAATCGTATCTACAGAGGACAAACTTGGAATGACACATGGGACACACAGACTGGGCTGAAACAATATTTTATACATTTTTTTTCCTGATATACCGACATTGGAAAGTAGAAATCTATCGCCCATCCATCAGTGAAAGTAAATGGATTTGATTAGTCCTCCACATCATCATTAGTAACAAAGACTGCATGATATTAAACAGGAAATTTACATAAAGTAGCTTATTAAATAGATCCTGACACACAGAGTACATGAAAACTCAAAACAGAAAAACCCCAAACCGTCTATCCAGCCTGGCCCCTGTGACCTCGTGATATCATAGTTCTCAGTATTCCAAGGTGGTTAATAAAACATGGTTGGGCTGAGAGAATTTGGAAAAACACATCTTTGCAAAGTTTTTCTGACCACCATTGTAGTATTGATTTGATCCTAATAAGAGTCAGGATTACTTTCACAGCGTGGAGGAATATTGACATTTGGAGCAAGACTGAAATATGAACTACTAAAATAATTGGAGACACCATGTTTTTCAGAACACGTTTGGTGATTCAAAAGGGGTCATGTTACTTATTTAATTGCAGCTGTTGTGGTTTGTTAATTTTGACTATTAAGTAAACATTTAGATTTAATTGCAGCTAATCTTGCAGCCCTTAGGTTGGAGGTCCGCTACCATGAAGATGCTATTCCTTTACCTTTAATGTTCCACAATATGGTATTAAACATCCATAAGATGCATTTATTCAATTATGTTTTTCTTTTGTTCAAAAATACCTTTAAAAACATGCCTTCTGACAATGAGTGGGGCCACCTCTTCACAGATCTCACCTGTAAACTGCCCTCCTGCTTGTTTCTATGGAGATTGAAAAGTTTAATGCCATAATTTGGAATATTGGGGACAAGTAACTGGCAGGCCGTCTACCAGAAAAGTTACAGAGTGCACCTTTAAGCACATTTTGACCTGCTCCAATAAACACACCCCCTATCACCATTATCATACCAATATTTGTACATCTGAAAGCAACATTATAAACAACAACACTAAGATGTATTTATACTGACCTGATAAATATGCAGAAAACGTACACACACGGTAATAGAATATATTTTGTACAAGATGCCTTCTCTAGTCTAGCCACGTCCTTCTTAATTTTTTCCTCAACATTGCAATATGTAAATCCAATATTGTAACTTGATTTGCAAAACCAATTAGTTGCATATAGGCCTGTCACAATAATTACTATATCGACTCATCGTTCAATATACGAAAACTCAAACTATATATTTTGAGTCTCAATATTTATTGTATATAATATTTCTTTGCAAAGGTGGAGAAATTTGGGGTATTTTTGGGTTGTAATAAAATAGGATTTGAGCTGTAGAGGGTTGAATAAGTCAATGCCTAATTCTTGCTTCATTCTGCTATTTATTTGTAGCAGCTCAAGCCTTTTAATGATACTGGTTTACTGAAATGATCTTGCATTATCGTTATTGAGTCAGTTAGATTAAGTACTAGGAATTTCAATGTTATAATTTATCGCAGTATATCTCAGTAGTAATATGTCGTGCTTTAAAATTTGTTATTGTGACAGGCCTAGTTGTATAATAGAGACATTAACTTTAGCTTTAACTTTATAGGTGTCCACTGCAATGTGAGATCAAACTTTATCAAACCTGAAACCTTAGTTAGACCTGTCACGATAACAAAATATAGATAATAAAGGATAATACTGAAACTAATTTATGCCACTGATACAATAACAATTAGGGATGCACCGCTCGAGGTTTTTCAGTTGCAATACGAATATCTACTATAGCATTTTTGCCGATATCAGATATTAACCGATACCAGTGTGGAATTGAAAATGTTTTTTTTCTCTCAAAATACAATTAAGTTATTACAATTAGTCAGTAAAGAGTACAACCAAGATATTGACTGAACCGGTATTATAGAAAAAATACCCAATACTGCAATTTTTCCTGGATTGGCACTGATATTCAATATGGGTATCGGTGAATTCCTAACAACAATAAAGCATCCATATCCATATCCATATCTATAAACTATTTTTAAATATAAAGTATCTTTAAAAAACATGAACTGCAACAAATAAATAACAGAATTAACCAATAATTAGTCACAGATATTTATTTATTCAACCTTCTACCATTCAAATCTTACCTTATTACGTAAAAATAGCAGAAATGCTCCATATTTTTGCAAAGAAATTATACACATGATAAATACTGATAAATATGATATATTAATTATCATGACAGACCTATCCTTAGCTCACACTGTCTGAGTTACACAATTACAGCTTATTTCAGAAAAAAACACTACTTCATATGATACACATTTCTATAGTAACATGAGAGGGCTTTTCCTTTCTTTAATCTGCCCATGTCCCAATCAGTGAACCTCTGGAGGTAGGAGTAGAGGGTAAAAATAGAAGCATGTATGGAGGATAAGAGCAGGGGGAAGTCCTGCTGCAGCCATGTGTGGTGACAGAGGAGATAAATCAAACGTGTGTGAAAAACCTATTCAAGTTAGCATGTAGTACACACACATAAACAAGCAGAATCTGTGTGTGTGTGTTTTATTAGTATTATTCATGCTGATCTAATAGAGGACCTGTTTCTTTGGGGTGGGTTTAAAGGGCCTTTATTACGCACAATTGACTCATGTGAGCTTTTAACCATGTTAAAATGTTGTTACCTCATCAAAAACATAGCTGGAGTTGTGTTTTGTTTTATTCACACGTCTGAGTAACCCTGCATTACTGGGGCGCCTAAATCTGGAAAAATTAAAATGCTCTGTTCCACCTTGTGATGTCATGAAGCAAAGTTAACAGCTACCTTTTACCTTTAGTTCAGTAGAGATTGGCAAGTGAAGGTGTATGGAGTTTAAAGACACAGCAGAGCACTTCCTATATTACTCCATGACATCACAAGGTGTAAAAGAAAAGCTATGTTTGTGATGAGGAAACAATATTATAACATAGATCAGATATATTATAAGAGGTCCAGTTATATTTAGAATAAAAATGGGAAAATTGTGCAGTTTGTAAAATTATTTGTTGAGAAAGTTGTACAACATGATACGTATTTATCTAGCATGCACATTCTTACCAAACTGTCATAGAGCAATCCAAAGTTTCTATTTCCGCTACAGTCAATACAGGAAACACAAAAATACAACAAACCAAAAAAGTTTGATTCATGTATTCAAATTAGCGATTTAGGATGAGGTTAAGAAATCAGGAAAAGAATCACTTCTGATGGCGAGTACTTGGGATAGAAGCTGGAGCAGAATGTGTTAGAACCAGCTCCAATTACGACTCGAAAAATTATAGTACTATACTCTATTCCCAATTGTAATATAAATAATAAAAGAACTGTGCTCTCTTCCCATACATAAATTCCCAGTCCAACTAAAAAAAAAAAAAAATCAAACAGGAAGTGGAATCATGACCAGTGTTTCCGAAAGCACACACAGCCAGAACCTTTCCTTGCCTTGGATCCGGTGGTAAGTAGAATTAATCACTAAAAGGGTTAATTTATCCAATATCCCTGTAACAAAAGCTCCTTTCAGTGAGAAGTGAGGGAGGAGAGACCAAAGCAAAGGCAGGCAGAGGATGTGGGACTGGGCTGTACTGTGGTGGGCAGCAGCCAAAATAACTATAGCCTATAGGCAGGTTAGTAAGACAGTCTCTATGTTTACATGTATACCAAAAATCTGATAATTATCCAATGACTAGTTTATTAAAATGTGATTTCTGATTGTTCACACTTGTACAGGATTTGATAAGGAGAGATTCATTGTACTTTGTCTTCCAAATGCAATAGTTACTCTAATAATCCATTGTCTAACTGACGTCACCATATGTTTTGATGATCAGATTTCTTCTGTGCATGCAAACAAAGATCAGAATGATACAGTTCAAACAGTTTTGATCTTGCCAGTTGCCACACAATGAAAAAGACATAACAGACCTAGCATGTGTTTGCATAATCCAGCTTTTGGCAGAAATTAGCTGAGCCCCGTCTCCTTTGCCCAGTGCCACCCACCTCTCCATCAGTAATACATGTGGGCAGTGGGCAAAGAAGACAAAGCAGATAAATTACATTGCCTTTTTTTTTGGACTGTAAGTCGCACTTGTTTGATGGTTTGGGTGGTCCTGCGATTTAAACTCCGGTGCGACTTATATATTAAAATGTTCACACTGACAGCCGCGAGAGGGCGCTCTAGGCTTGTGTGCCCGTATGTGCTGCTTCTATTACTCCTGTACCACTGTCACTTCACCCTCTACTGCGCATGTCTCCTGCAGAAAAAGCTGCTGTCCTGCTGCAAGTAGTGAAATATTCAACCGAAAACAAGCAACAGAAAGAAAGTTTAGAGTGAGTGAGAAACTTGTGAGGGACTGGCGGAAAGCAA